GACGGCTGAAATGGAGGTTCCCGGCTGAAAATGGAGGCGAACGAGATGGCTGAAGATGGGGCTGACTGGCGGACGGCTGAAACAAATGGATGTGGACGGCTGAAATGGAGGTTCCCGGCTGAAAATGGAGGTGAAGGAGATGGCTGAAAATGGGGCTGAATGGCTGTGAAAATGGAGGTGTGAAATTGTGGGAGAAATATCTGATTTCCCTCGCTTTCCTTCTTGCCTCCTTGAAGTCAGACCCAGTCAATTATTATTATTATTTTTTAAATCTTTGGAACTGCCACGTCAGCACAAATTTAAAATCCGGTAAGTGCCCTGTAAGAAGGGATAATTCTACTCAAACAGGTAATTTTGACAGGGTTTTAGAGCCACCCTGACTTGGCAGCCACTGATTGCATGTTGTCTGTGTATTTTTTTCAAATTGTCCAACTAGTGTGTGACACATGTACCTGTTTTTTAATCCTGTCAAAATTCCCTGTTTTTGTAGCATATCTCAAACTAAAAATCAAATATTCTTTGACAGGTTAAGGAAATTATAGTCATTGGACACAGTGCCTGTGGAGGAATCAAGGGGCTCATGTCTCTCTCAGATGATGGTTCCACCTCCACGTAAGTCGGAAAGAAGATTTCTCACTTTTAAAAATGAGGCTTTTGTCTCACACGGTCGTTCTACTTGATGCGTGCAGTGATTTCATCGAAGACTGGGTGAAGATTGGTTTACCTGCAAAGGCAAAGGTAAAGGCCGAGCTCGGTGACGCACCTTTCGCTGATCAGTGTGGACTATGTGAGAAGGTAAAAAACTTTGCTTTGTTATTAATTACAAATGGGTATCCCTTAACATACCCTGCAAAGCAAGATGGTGACTCGTTTGGGAACACCAATCTTGAAATCCGCATGATTGTTTCTCATTTTTATTCAATGCGAAATTTATCCTTAAACGTGCTTTTATTGTGTAAAAATGCAACAGGAAGCAGTGAATGTGTCACTTGGGAACTTGCTGAGTTACCCCTTTGTTAGAGATGGATTGGTGAAGAAAACTTTGGCACTGAAGGGTGGATATTATGATTTTGTGAAAGGAAGTTTTGAACTGTGGGGGCTGGAATTTGCTCTTTCTCCATCACTCTCTGTATGAACAAATTAATCTCTGTTCCCTAACCAGTTTTTGATGTCAAAAATGTAATCTTAATTAATGATAAGTGCAATGGAGAACAATTGTGTCTGTCTGTGAATCCTTCCTTAGTTTCCATGTAATAATTTCAGAAATTATGTTTTCTGAAAATAAGTAAGAGTTGCATCCCATATTTATTTATTATAATTTTTTATTTTTTGGTTTTTTTAGGTAAAAGATGTGGCCACAATACTGCACTGGAAGCTCTACTAACATTCTGCAAACATGCATGGGGCTCTCTGATAACAAAATGCTTGTTCTTATGCTCAAGTATCAATAAATTTCAATTTTTGCTCAATTACAACTAACTGGTTGTGCGAATGATCTAGTTAAGCTAAAATAGTTGTTAAAGAAATCTAAATTAAAATTAACAATTAATTTTAATCACGCATTTTATCAATTTTTATTAAAATCTACTAAAAATCTAATTTTTAAGAAAACCAACCGGAGGCTTACTGAAAGTCAGACAATTTTGTGCTTTGTTTGGTACGATTAATTATGCAACATTCAACACTACTTAAAGAAAAAAGATACTGATTATATTGTAGTCGATGTAGACCGTGAGCTCGGTCAAGAACAAACGTAGCCCCTAAGTCATCCAAATCGAAGATTTTAAGGTCTAGAACTCTATCGACAAAGAAAGGGGCGAAATAAAACCTTTTTAATGTCTCAGTTCCAAGACATCGAAAAATCACAACAACATATCCAAATGGCATATCGTCACCATTCGTCCTTATTATCAAAGAGGAAGCGGCACTAACCTCGAGACTAATATAAAGTCAAAAGTTCAATTAAAAACTGTAGCAAGAATTGACCCGAAATTAGGGGCTTAGCAAGGCCTTGATTCCGCTAGACGAATTCCTCCTATTTTACTTCTCATCCCATCTCTCAACAAGCAATGCTACATTAATCAAACATCAGAAGAATAACAAAGAACCAAACAACTTACGTGCGAAACACAAGTTAAAACATTAATGTTTAAATTTTCAGAGACTGGAAATACAAATATGTAAAAAGCTTAACGGTGCGTACACGAAAATAAGTAGATGAGCATGTTCTGGTGAAGGGATTCCCTAAATAAGGTAGCTCTACAATAAACTGCACATTGGCAATTATGGACTATTTACAATTCTCAATATAGAGAAGCGAATAATACGCCTGACGATAGACATCCTCCTTGTGGATTCAGAATAAAATTACAAAATTTGTGACGCTAAGACTCCTCAGGCTTTGGTTCAAGGACTACAGGGATTTTTTCTATGCGATCACCACGCAGTACTTCCACAGTTATCTGCACAACAATAAGAAACGCGATCACTCTATCATGTGTCTTTTTTCATGTCACAATTGAACCAAAATACATAAACTGGTTCAGGAATTCCGAACCTGATACTAGTGCGGTTAGGAGGTTGAAGAAATTAGCCTTACCTTATCACCCACTTCGCATTGATCCAGGATTCTGTACAGATCGGTGCCATTAGAGACCTTCTTCCCATTGATAGATGTAATTATATCGCCTAAAATAAGTCTGCCATAGGCATCGCGTTTAGTAGATTGAAGACCCTGCCGAACCAAGAATACATCTAGTATCAGCACTACACAATTTTTTGTCCAGTATACTTCCAACTTCCAAACCTTTAAATTACAATGAAACTTCCACACCACAACATCACAATAAACCAAGGGAAAAGAAGAAAAATATATCAATAAACGTACTGCTTTGCCAGCCGGCCCATTTGGAGGAGCATCCAATACAAGAACGCCACTAACTCCCAGTTGCTCCATGGACTGATCAGGTGCAAACTTAATCCCCAAAATTGGTCTGGTGACTTTCCCAAACCTCACCAACTGATCGACAATGCCACCTACCTGGGTATGAAAGAAATATAAAAAACAAATCTTACGGAAGTCCCAAATGCAGAATATTAAGTGTGTCTGGTGCAGATTTTTGTCCACCAAAAATGGCTTTTCTGCCCGTTATTTTCAGAAGTGGCCAACAATTTTTGACTACATGTGAGTTAGGTGGGACCCTCCAGCCATTGGTAACGGTCAAAAAAAAAGGCTGCATCATACAAGTAATTAATTACTCACAGTGTCAACAGGAATCGAAAATCCAACACCAGATGATGCACCAGAAGGAGAGTATATAGCTGTATTTATCCCAATAAGGTTTCCTGAACTGTCAAGAAGTGGCCCTCCACTATTGCCAGGGTTAATTGCAGCATCTGTCTGAATGACATTCTGGATCGGACGTCCGGTAGCAGCAGAACTGATTTCCCTTTGAAGTCCACTATAGAAGAATTGAACTTATGATACACGAACCATGAAGATCGTTCAAAGCACAAGAATACAAAAAAAAATACTGGCTTATTTGCTTATCCTTGATTATCTTTTAAGATGTGACGGATGTAATAAATAATAGACGAATCTAGCAAATATAAATGCTCTCATTTCTGCCTCTACTTGATAACAGCAGTTGGTCAATTCACTTAATTATTATATAAATCTTAAACAAGTCAATTATTAATGATCAATTTAAACATAACTAGAAAAAGAAAACAATATCAAGCAAGAATGTATCCCTGAGAACCACATAAATGGCCGTCTTTACATATTTAATCCTTTATGATCTCCTTTACAGGCACTGGTTTCCACGACACAAGGTGAAGGCTCTCTCCATTTGGGGTTGGCTGGTTCTTGTTTGTAGCAGAGAACCTCTTTTAATTCAAAAAGCTTAGTAGTAGGAATCTAGAGCTGGTGAAGATATGCTAATAACTTTTTTAGAAATTGTTGTATTATTCTCCATAACCTCTTCCAAACTGATGTACTTCTAAATGGGAATATTTATAATCTTCAGCAAAATCAATACAAAAAAGGTGCAATGATTAAAATAGTATCAATTTATGCAATTAAATATAACACACGAATACCTGATAACACCAGTTGTAAGTGTATGGTCAAGGCCAAACTGCAAAGGCACGTACAATTAAACACAAGGATAATGTCAGACAAACGTCTTTGGTGTCATATAAAATGCGAAATTCAAGTATTTGATATGTTGAACGGGATACATCCCATTCCATTGGAGGGAAGGTATCATAGTTACTAAAAAAGTAAGACAATTCTTAAAAGAATTTTAAACAGCTTGGAGATAATATCTGACAATCTTCTCCACAAATCTAGGTAAGTTACTCAAAAGAACCAATTTTTATAGAATCCCATTTTTGTAGAATACACCTATGGCACATAGCTTTAGCTGTTGAATACTATACTGTTAGCGGTTTATGGTTGGACATCACGCTGCTATCGATAGCAAGGGAAAGATCTGGCAGATGATTTAGAATATTGGGAATTGAGCCTTAATTTGACAGCAAAGAAACAGGTTTTAGAAAGACAAATTGTTTGGAAAGCAAAACCACCCAGAAGATTCGTAAATGTCCACAAGTTGAGTAAAAATGCTCAATACATCAAAATGTACATGCTATAAACTAAAAAGGCACCAAATTTCCATTTTTGCTATCATGAAATTTTTTTTAACTAAAAACTCTATTTTCTCGAGAACATAACAAGGGTGGAAAAATCAGTAGTGGTTCAAATCAAGGGGGTGCTTGGCCTGCAGGATGATATTTGGCAGGGAACGGAAAACCTTGAGAAAGCCACCAGCAGGTACATGATAACTAGTTTTGTATAACCTTACAACGAAGAGAACAATAAAATTTAAGATTTCAGTATTGATTCCATGCTCATGTTAGATGGGAGATAATACAGCATTGTAATACAAGAAAATTGTAACACATCCTAGAATTCCCATATCATGTGATAGCTGCAGTTAGATAATTGAACCTAAAATTAGGAAATATGAAAAGTTGATTAATCTAAATTTAGCATTTCCAATGCCCATTTACTGATTATTTCAGTTTCGAAACATATATAATTTTTTGATAGTCAAAATGATGAACATTAGAAGTATGTGTATTTTGCTTAGGAAGTCGAATGTTTCTTGAGTCACTGACTAGTTTTCTAAGTTTCATGTATAAGTCTTCCTATGAAAATTAAAATATCACAATTCTCTCAATTAAGAAAATTATATTTGTACCGCAACAAGTTGAAAGCTTACTGGTCTATCTGTTTGGTCCTCGTGTGGTTGTGTCATTCAGCAGTCAAGGGCATTGGCGGAGAAGAGTGCCTGTAAATGTGGTGCTTGAAAGAGTAGGGATGATAGTGGATCAGTAAAGAGAGGCAGGAAGAGGTGGCTGTGGTCGAGAAGCTGTTAGAAGAGATGCGGGATAAAGGCACTAGAAATGCCAATAGGGAGTAGCAAATTTGACACTATGGAATGCCAATACCATTCTCACATACAGATTACAGAATGCCATCTAAACGGTTGCCTTCATCTATGCATGAAAAATACATACTTGATAAGAAGCCAAATTCAGATCATGGTATACCAGAGAACTTACGATGCAAAAGTTTTCAAACACGGAAGATTATGTCAAAGATAAGATTATTTGCACTTACCGGATTACCGATAGCGTATACTTTTTGACCAACAAGCAAATCTGCAGATATGCCAATTGGGATAGGTCTCAAATTGTCTTTTGGTGCATCAATTCGCAGAACAGCAACATCTCTATCTTGGTCAAACCCAACAACTTTTGCATCGTAAGTGCTCTGGTCTGCAAGGGTAACCCTGAACACAGCCAGCACTTGGTTAAACCCAAAATATAATAAATTTAGAAATCTCAAAGAGGTAAGAAATTTGTCAAAAAATTCATTCATTTAACCAAAGATTTTGTAAATAAAGAAATATAAAGTGGTTAGCATAAAAATGAGTCCAACTGCAAAAGCCATGATGGGGCAACTGTATAATCTTTTTAGGCGCCTAAGGTGTTTGAAACACAATACAGATGGGCAAAGTCAAAGTCAAAGTCTTGAATGACATTACCAGGAAATTTTTCAGTCCACAAAGAAATAGTCTGAATCTATTTAGGCCTTAATTAATAGGGCATGATAAATTCCTTAAAGCAACATTCTCTTATGAACTATCCTTTTGTACAGTATCTTAGAACCACTCGAACCGTGATTCTGTTGTTAACATGTTCTGGCGATTATTCCTTTTTAGACTTGAGCATCCAGGTTCGAAACTCGGTGCTTGGACTAGGATATGGCATATGGATTGTTCATTTTGAGAAAAATAAGCTAAAATAGTCCATCGTTAACTAATTCCATACATGGACATTTACCCGACACTCAAGCCCAAGTCTAAGTAACACAGGTCTAGAAGACCTTGTGTCATCTCAAGATTGTGACTAAAAGACTTGCATTTCAGTCATTATGGGATTCTTCAGATTATTAGACAAAACTCCTAACAGTATCTTCCAGCATAAAACTTGTTTGACTCACAAGGTATTTTTGCACATTCAAGGGGACTACAATCTAGCAAATAAAAAGCCATAATATTGAAAACTGTTGGCGACGCGGGTTAAATATAAGTGCGGGGGAAAGAGTTATATTGAACAAACAAACAAAGTTTAATCCGTAGGAGCGTGGCTAAATAATATAACAAGGTAATTGAAAATGTAGTATGAAAACTACAAATGACAACAAAGGGCAACCAAGAAGAAGAAGAAGAACAATACGAGGCAAGTGATTTTCACTATTTCTTTAAGACAAAATTGCCCCGCAATGGTGTTCACAGTTCACAACACTTGTCTTCCCAGATACAACGAATTCAACTTGTCGTAGAAACATTTCAAACCACAAGTTACGGCGAACTTTCGACAGAGCTTCTCTCTACAAAAAAGAAAACAGTTTTGAATGAATTTGGAAGGAATTTGCAAGAGTTTTTATACAATGATCAATGCAAATAGGGTATGGGATCTTAACGGACGTCCAAGGGGTCATATATAGAGGATAACGGGTTGTGAATGAAGTGTCGCGCCCCAAACTCAGCAACTTTTGCCAAATGTCGCACAATTCCGTGTCGCTAGCCTGTCGCCATTGCCTCGCGCGAGCAATAAAAATAGTGACTTCGTCGCGGACTGTCGCTCATTCACAACCGCGCCCCAAACTCAGCAACTCTTGCCAAATATCGCACAATTCACTGCCGCCTCCCCGTCGCCTCGCTCGAGCAATAAAAACAGTGACTTCATCGCTGGCTTGTCACCTTCGCTCGAGCGACAGTCCAGCGTCAGGTGTGTCGACACATTTAGGCAAATATCCGACAATTTCCTCTATTTTCTTCCCAACTTTGGACCGCCATTTCTTATTCATCCGGAATTGATTTTGAGATTTCAAATATACCATGACGATCTACTCGACGAGTAGAACACTATTTACATTTTAAATTTGACCATCGGATCAAGTCCGAATATTTGACCGAAGTTGACACGAAAGTCACTTTTCCAAATTTTTTTTTAATTTTGTAACCAAATTTTCAATCTTGTAAACCAATTTCCAATAAAAACTAGGAAAGACACATTACCCTAAACGATGAATCCTTCTTCAAATTCTGTTTTGACCATGTAAAACTCAGCTCGCACCATTGAAGTAAATAGTTAATCAATTGCATCACGCGGAAATTAAAAAGAAACTTCCACAAGTAGCATTTAACAAGAAACGTGAAGCAGTATTGAAATTACTTGAGATCAGATGCTCCCCGAATCACATGATAATTCGTGACAACATGACCCTGCACATCCCATATAAATCCTGATCCCGATCCTTGGGGCACCTCCAACACATCCAACGTAAAAGCATCCTGCCTAATACACACACCAAACCCAAAGTCAAACTAACATTGAAAAGAAATAAAAATAAAATGTAACTCAAGCTTAATGTACCTAGAAGCAAGATTAGTGATGTAGACAACTGAAGGAGTGTTCTCCTGAAAAAGACGAACTGTAGCGAGCTCATCGGTCTGCAATTTCCTCGGCGTAGTGACTACAAAGGCCGAGGCAGAATCAACATCAGCCACGAATAAGCAAACCGACAAGGCGACTGAGGTACAAACCAGAAAGCATGAATCCAAAAGCTTCTTCAAACTGTTGGAGCCATTATTGGGAAGCTCAAAAGTAAACGATTTGTAATTATCTTCGTTTCGAACCGCAGAAACTACAATTGAAATAGGGCGTTTCGCGTTAGAAATCGATTTTGCTAGTGAAAATTTGGGGATTGAATTCGTAATGTCTCTGCACGAAAGAGTTGGAGTTTTTGCCGAGAAGACCATGGAACCCATTGCAGCCATTGTTACTGCGCACAACAGAGTGGCACTTCTATATGTGGATGCACATTATTAATAGTGACGCAGAACTTTTATTATCTGTGGTCAGGCACACGATAAATGGTGGCACCCAACGGTCATCAGGAGCTTATTTACTGTTTTTTGAATCTAAGCCATTAATTCATTAGATGAGTTAAATAATCGTTTGATGTAGCACAACTAGCACGTGATTCCAGAGGCTTCCACCCATAATTTATTACTGTTGAAACGTGTTAATTATAAAACAAATACTTCATCCATCTCATTTATATACACTAATTTTTTCACACTATTAAAAAATCTTTTTTAATGTTATTGAAAAATCAATTTTTGTCAAAAGTTTACCTAATTTACCCCTATTTAATTATCAACAACTAGTAGTAAATTGGTTACGCAAATTAAATGATGATATATTAGTAAACGAACAAAATAAAATATTCTCAATAAAAACGACTATATAATTGAAACAAGAAAATAAGGAAAGTCAGCCTATATAAATGGGACGAAGGTAGTACTTAATTGATTTATTGAAAAAAAAAAAATAAAATAAATTCAAGATTACAAAATTTTGCCCAAGGGTCTTAATTCCTTGGGTGTGTCATCAAAATTTCCAGAATTTACATCAGATTGAAGCACTGGTCTTTTCCCAATTTTCCAGTGTATGCCTTCAGCTAGATGCTCCTTGTTTGGGGTCAGCATTACATAATTCGGGTCAGCCCTTTGATAACTGCAAGCACGGAAATGAATAGATGAACATTACCAAATGTAAATTCATGTGCATGATACACACCGGTACCGGTGCATTTCTCCATCCGAGTTAGAATAAATATATTTTCAAACCTTCAATAGCGAATTTACATGGATGTGTAATTGATCTAGCTTGTGTGGTGGGCTTGTAAAACCGTATCAAGAAGGGATAAGTGAAAATGAAACTAACCTTGCTTCCCTAATGTTGTCCACACGAACGCCAAATCCAAATGCTGTCTCTTGTTTGGTCCGATTTCTAACAGCTGTAATCCATAGTAAATATAAAGGTATGAACTCAAAATGAGGGCCAAAGAATGATAAAGAAACCTCAAAAAAAGGAATCGACGTCAATATCTTTGTCCTCCATTTTACACTCTTATGGAATGTTTAGTAAGGTGCATGGAACAAAATTTACCAATATTAAAGAAAAAAATCATGTCTATTGTATTGTCCAATCCTTCCTACTGTTGCATATAAAACATTCTCTCAAGGTCTTGAACAACAGCTGTCCTAAAAACCAGTTAACTTTGATGATGAGAGAAAATGAAAGCAGTGACGGAATAATTTGTTCAGATACAAATGTGTAAGCTTACAACTGTCAAGCAATTTTAGGAGATTAAACAGCAAGCTACTATAAAAAATCAAAATCACAGAACAAATTTCAAGGCTTACAATTCTGCAGCCAAATCTCTTGAGAACAAGTGCAACTATATATACACACACATATATATACATACATATACCTGACATGCTGAAAGTGAAAGAAGGTTTCCACCATGATTTAAATGCTAAAGCTATTGATGAGCTTAAAGGCCCCACCTTTCCCTGTAAAATTGACACCACGCTCTGTCTTAAACCTAATTTTTTAACGAGTAAACTACCTCAAACTTAAATGATTAGCAACAAGATAAAAAATGTGTTACCTTCAGTAAGAAGTTTTTATTGGCTTGCCAAGATGCAGCAACTTGAAAAGTGGACTCTTGAATATTATTTGATGATTTGTCAGCGTCAATGCTTCAAAAGAAGTATAACATGAACTCAGATCCCACTTTATACAATATCAATGTATGCGACATTTACAGACGGAAATACCTGGTCTGTAACTCAAAGCCGAAGTCAATGTAATTAGTGATTCCAACTATTTCATTTTCTTCAAGTGGATTTTTTACCTATGTCATCACAGATGTTAATATTTGTTAGTAATGTTGATTTCAGTATAATCTTTCACCATTGTGTCAGTTATTTTGTCTTCAGTATAATATTTTTTGAGCATCTGTGCATGCATAATTATACTGTAGATAGAGCCTGTGGGCTTGTACACACTACACACAGAGAGAAAGAGAAATATACCCTTCTCTGAACCACCACGTGTTGATAGAAAGAAGCAATGAACTGCAATGAAATGGTAATGAGACAATGTAAGACATAAGTTGACCCCATATTGTGAAATAAATTCCAATTCACTAGTGCAGATACAAGAACTTAAGTTGTAAAAGTATTGGTGCGGGAATAGGTAACATGATAATAAGAATACTAGTCTCAAAGTGTCAATTACTTAACAAATGGCAAATAAAAGCCCCGTTGATGACGTTATATACCAGTATACTCATTTTAATTGGATCAAATGTGACGAAGAGAAGTTTTTAAAATGGGAAAATGGAAATGAAGAGAAATTCACTAATTAGATATACTGCTGCTTGCTTACTTCCTGCTGAATTCTGTTCATAAATTTCTGTTGTGTCCGGAGCATTCAGGTTATTGAAATATTTAGGGTAGCAAGGAAGCCTAACCATCTCACAAGCTTTTCGAGTTCTTTACCAAATTATTTTTAATACTTATCTTTTATTCATTTAATATGAACACGAAATTTTAGGGAAACTATTCATACTCGATCTCGAATCAGCCTTGAACAATGCTCGAACTAAAGTTTCAAACTTTTATTTCATAATTGAGCCTCATTTAATTTGCTCGGTGTTAATTTCAAATTATTTTAAGTGCTCGACTAGGTTCGTTTGCACCAGCAAAACAACTTGTTTCCTATTATCTTCCACAACAGGATAAATTACAAGCTAAATGATAAACAGAAAAATTAATATTACACGCAAGTTGAGCCAAATAAAAGAATTGTATTAGATGTCAATTTAGCCCTTGTTTGGTCCTTTTTTTTTCTAAAATACATTTTTCTCTTTTTTCATTTTCAACCACTCATTCTTCAATAAAATAATATTACACGCAAACCAAAAACTTTTCTTTATTTTTTAACCACATATTCTCCATCAAAATACTATTCCAAATGTATTTTGAACAAAAAAAATGGGCTCAAACAGGCTCTTAGTGATGAAAATAGGTTAACAGCACTATTATATAAAAAGAACAAAGGGAATTAATCAAAGGAAGGGCCTGAAAACTTAAAAACACAAATAACCTGTGAATTTTTAGCAAGTTCAAGTCCAAAATCGAAGGATGGGCTCAATGGACTGCCTGACCCTAATCCATAACCAATAGCACAGCTCCAATTTGCCAAGTTTTTGTATTTTGCTCCATCTTTGCTTCCAACTGCGTACAGCATCATAAATATAACACTACAACCATTCTCCATGAAATACTGAAGAATGTAGATGGCCTATGCTAACTATTCCATTTTTCTAATTTTTGCCCTTTTCTTTGACTTTTTGTTTGACAAGAATATAAACTTGAAAATACTAATATATTTGGAGAAGAAAAATTACATTGAACCACAAACACCATCTCCACTACACATCCATGCAAGCAATGGTGCATAAAATAAAACATATTTAAAGTATCCAGAAAGAGAAGGGATGTAATGAACATCAAAGCAGTATGATAGGGTACAATTGAAAAATATAAGACTATTAGAATTAACATTTCATTTTCCGAAAAGAATAGAAGAATATACTTCTGGAGATGGCGAAAGCTGAAGGGTCAAAACAAATGTTTAACAGAATGTCAGAACATGAAGGAGTAGGTGTAACTTAAAAAAACACGTTTACCTTATCAATTAGCAATTATTATACCTAAAACACAGAAAGCATTGAGGATAAAAAAGAACAATAAATTATTTTGGGTTTCTGAAAAACTTACACGTTGGTTCATATTGCACCCCAGCAGTCAGCCGTCCCATCTTGCTTACCAACCACGCACTTTTTGGAAGTTCATCTCCAACTATGGAGGAAAAAGAAAATTTAATATATTCCTTGTGTTTGTGGATGTATGTCCATGTATATGCATACATATCATAAAAATAATCTTTATGATCAGGTAGATTAGCTGTACGCTGAACAAGGGAAATAGCCAGAAAATTTCCAAAATGCGAAATTAAGTGAATGTGTAGACTTGTTAAAGTTGGGATGCCACAGAGAAATGCAGATCATATTTTCGTGTAGGAAATCATCGATCCCCAGGTTTGGTCAACCAATAGCAGTAACATACCAAAGAAAGGAATAACTGTAGCTCCAACAGACAGATTTGATGAGCCATATCTCAAACCCATAACACCATAATCTTCAGAAGATACTCTGCAGGAGTGAAACAATCTTAGACAAAAGAAAAACACAAACAAGCATACACTAACTTGTTTAGGAGGATGTAAGATTTGATTTAGATTGAAAATTACCTTTGCTTCAAAAGCACTGGGAGTATGCCAAATGCACCAAAACCAAATCTCTGGTAGTATGCACAAGACCTCATCAGTAAAATCCTAGATGGACATGTACAACAAGCATAAAATTACTATTTGTTACACTGGCTGCATAAAAGGGAAGATGACGCAAGAATTGGTTCTTACGGTTCAGTGTTGGATACAAAAAGGTCGACGAACGTGTGAGGATCATCAACATCTCTGCAAAAAAAAAAATAATAACTTCACTTAAAGAAAAACAATCAAATAAAATGAATTTTAAGGATTTGAAATAGCTATCAATACCTTTGCCAGCGAAACTGTGCATTTCCAACAATTTTCTCCTCAGGCTTGTGATCAAGTGGACCAGCAACCTGGATACGCTAAGGAACAAGCTTATATCTTGTAATCTCACATTCAAGTAGCTAAAAATGTTGAAAATCAAATAACTGATCTGAGATTTAAAAAAGAACAAATAAGGGAAGGAAAGAAAGAAAGAAAAACTTCAACTGCTTCAAACTTTCCACATTTTCCACAGACCAAGTCACGTCTTATAAGCAATTGACAGAGAAACATAAATTCGTGCTTATGGGAATGGGTAAGAAACACAAAATAAGGGGGTCAAAGTGTTTTATAAAATGTTCTAGGTGGAAAACATGGGGAAAAAAGAGGTTCTTCTTGACTTATTAATCACACTCTCAACATGGAGAACCCTGCAATTGCAGCATGTTACTCAGTGAAGACATTTGATGACAGAGCAAAAGATCCCATTGTACTGAAGATGTCGTCACACCCATAAAGGGATATTTAATCACCAAATTACAGTAAGCAAATCCGTTTTTGAGTTAATTCTCTTTGAGCTTTAAAGTTTGAATATTTGAAAAAAATAGAGTATCATTTATTCTCCAACGACTTAATTACTTGAGATATGCAGTCTGTAATATATTTCTAAATTTGGTCGTCTTAATCCTAACAATCTTTCATACTTAAGATTACGATGCACCAAACTAGTACTTATCTAACAGGATTTAAAAACAACTAATCAAGTATACATATTCCACAAGTTGAAAACAACCTACTTCAGAAAAACACAATTTTTTTCCACAGCCACATTGTCTCTATTCTAGAATGCTTTACCTACGTAGGTATTCACACTGAAATCAACCGAAACTATCAAATAACTAAGAAATTAATAATCTACATATTAACCAGTTCAGAGATCAATAGTACTAATAGCAAACACAGATAGGGAAGGGATACAGTAGCAATCAAATCAACATGCGGATCATCGATTGGCTTCAGCATAATCCTGGTGCTAAAATGCCTCGCTTCTTCAAAGTAATCCTCGAAAAGGCATCTCAAAGCCAGTTTCCCAAACAACACGTCGTAAGAAGATTCCAGCATCCTGCATTGCCATTTCTCAAACACAATTAACCTCATCATCTTTTCTGAAAACAATTGAACGTCCAATTCTAATAATTGGTACAAACCTGGTACGGGCGGCAAGAGGAGGGAAATCGAAGAGCGGTGGAACCAGCACCATTAGCGGCGGCGGTTCTTTGGTGGTCGACCACAAATTCCCCATCTCAAATTCTATGCGTTTTCTTTAGAATTCAATTTTGCAGAATGTAATTTAGAGGAAATTGATGTTAGTATAGAGAAAGAGGAAGGTTTTTTTTTTAGCGGAAATTTCTGAAACCTCGCCCGCTCTTTGTTCTTGCTTCTCATGACCATTTCAACGTTCTGCAAAAATTAGTGACGTGGCGTTAGATGAAACATGGGAGGGATTAAAATCGGATTAAAATTGAAAATATAGTCATTATTGTTGATTTTTATTAGACGAGTGAGACCCAATAACGGTCATATTTTCAATTTTAATTGGCTTTTAATCCCTCCCGAACACGGCCCAAGACCTCAAGTTCTTTGCCTCATTCATGCGTCGAATGTGGATCCTGCTCACTTTGGGCTACTAGAGCTTCTCCGGGAGGAATTTTAATCAAATTAAAATTGAAAATATAGCTGTTATTGAATCTTACATGTATAATAAAAGTTAACAATAGCGGTTAATTTTTCAATTTTAATTCAATTTTAATCTCTATCAAACAAGCTCCAAATATCAAAAGGGCTTACCGTCCAGTCTGTCATGGGCTAGTGGTACTGGGCCTCCATAGGGCGGCGGGTTGGTCACGGGCTTGCATTGATTATCTATAAGGGAAATTACCATGAACCAGTGTTTAGTTTCACGCTATAAAAAAAATAGGTTTTCACTTTATTTTTCCACTTTTCAGGTTTTTATTATTTTTATCTATCCAAACCCTCAATTTATCCATTTTTCTCCACTCTCTCACCACTCTCCACAACGTCGTTCTCTCCATCCTCCCACCACCACCACCACAGCCTGCCGCCTCCTCCCCTGCCGGTTGTGTAGTAGTGGGTGGAAGCTGTTTGTGGGCCAGATTGTGGTTTATTGAAAAGTGCCGGCTAATTACGGGATGATGTTGTCGAGGGTCGATGTTTGTATTCGGTGGTCTGCGACAGGGTGGAAGTGGTGTCAATGGTGCGATGTGTGTGACCCACTATTTGTGGAGGGCGGTGGATCTGGTGGCAGCCGTCGCGAATATAGGGTCTGGTTTTGGAAAATGTCGCAGATCTGGGGATGTGTGGTTGTGGAGGTGGTGGTATGTTTTTTGCGGTGGTGGTTGTGATCGTGTGGTGGTGAGGGTGATCCATGTGGTGGTGATCCTTTTTTGTTATTGTTGTGGCGGGGTCAACGGCATTGGTGGTTCTCTTTTGTTTCTGTGACCTAACTATTGAATTGTGACTTTAAAATTGATAATTTGTAACTAAAAAAGAATATGTGACCAATAAATTTAAAAATACGTGACCTGTGACATATAATTTTTTTGATCTGTGACCTATAAAATTTTAGATTTGTGACCTACAAAATTTTTGATCTGTGACCTAAAAATTTTAGATTTGTGATCTCGAAATAATCTGTGACCTACAAAATTTTTGATCTATGACCGGAGAACAGTTGTTGGAATGGTCGTCGGAGAAGTAGGGGAGGTGGAGGTGGAGGTGG